GAGTCAAGTTAATGGTACTTAGATAATTTGATTTTATGAACTGCGTTGATAAAGTAAATTGACTACCGTTAAGAGTTTCAACGCTCGAAACTTTGAAACTGTACGTTGGCCAATTTACTGCATCAACTCAGTTGATAAAACTAAAATTCTCTTGTTGCTCATATTGACGCAGCACCACAGTTTCTTTAGAAACTTATCCCTTTTATTTAATGGTACTTAGTTTGATAATCACTTCCTAACTTCTGGCTCTTATTAGATGTAGATAAGGGATCTTAAATTGTCCTTTGGTGGTTATTGAATAGTTTTTAGCTTTGCAAGACTACCGTGGCAATTAAAAAGAGTCTAGAAAAAGTCTCCGAGCTTTTGCCACAGGACGAAGCGGTTTAATCTTTTACCTGCTGTCGGGGTTGGGGTCGTCGGAGTCACACCAGCTGGTACAAGTGTCACTTGTTGAGAACCTCTACTAGTGTGCTTAACAAGTGTATCGCTGGTTGAAGAATATGCCCACACAATGTAAATTGGCATTCCTTGCTGTTGATAACGAAAAATTTACAAAGTTATTGACCCATAGCGAAATAAACGAGAATTCTTAGAGTCAGGGTTACTCAGAAATATTTTGTATCGTAAAGGTAAAGATAAAGCCAACTTTTTCACGGGGTGCATTATACTACCATTGATTACCTGGATAACAACATCCTTTTCGTCGTTAGTGTTGAGCTTGCGATAAAACTTCAACTTTGTCGTACCATTATTTTCAGTAGAGTAGGTCAACATCCAGTCTTGACTAGCATCCCTGTCAGGTGCGCGGAAACCGACTGTTTGATGATCCTAGAAAAAAGGCAGAAGTTTGATGGATGGTATCCAGAAATGGTCTATTGTTCCGGCTCACTTTCTCACATTAAGTATTAAGCAATATTCCTTTCGTTATTTGTAGCCCTGAGGGACTTTGGCCGAAGGGACGCAAAAACGATCGTGAATAATCGGAAAAACTTTTCGGCATTACAATTTAGCTACATTGGGGAAGTGGGTAGCGTATATTTGCACTCGACAGGTAAATTGTTACCGAAGTACCCCAGGGTAAAATTGACCACTGATTTAGCCGCTTTGGTGAAGGGATAGGGTAAATTTGTCTCGTTAAGTCAATTCTCGATGGTCTACCCCTTAATTTTTTATGTCATTATTGGTGTTGGATAGATGCTGTTGGATAGAGAGCGATGAGTGACCAGACTGAGGCAACACAGCCAATCGAATGTAAGGGTATACCTTCTTCCCTTTCCATGAGAGTTTTCAATTTTCATTATGAAAATAAACGAGAGCCATTGTCTGACGACTCGTGTACTTCACTCAGTAGCTCTTCATTTTCTATTGTCAACAAACCTCTAAGCTTCCCATTCCACCCTCAACTTTTCCAATGGCCACATCGTATCCCATCAT